CCCTCCCCTCCCGCGCTAGCCTAAGGGCCACCTTAGCAAAGCGCATCCCAGGCTGCATAGCCGCACTACCCTACCCAACCATACCACACATAAACATGACACTACCCCCGGGGTTTACACAGACGAGCCGGCGAAGCAAGAAGAGCGCCAGAAGAAAGGGCCCTAGCCGGCGGGGCCCAGCCAGGACAAAAGGAGGTCCCACAAATCGCCTACACCGGCAGCATTTGCGGTCGGGGTAGACGATGGGGATGGGGCCCACCTACGAAGGCTGTCCAGGCCTACACGAGATGAGGCAGGATAAAGAGGGAAAATCCCCCTCGATCCTAAATCATTGAGGCCAATTTCTAGCCATGGAATAATGGCGCGCGTCGTAGTCTGAGTCTGGGTGTTTTTAATGTCAGCCTCAAGGGAGAGGATTGCCGCCTCCAGATCATGGGTGGTTTCGATGACTGGGAGCGCAATGTTTCCTTGCATTACTGCTCGGAAGCGCTCCCAGTCAGTGAACCTCCTCGTGAAGGTGCCTTCGTATCTCTGTCTTCGCCCCAGATCCAGAAATATTGGATTGTGGGCGGAGGACCCTTCGTATTGGATGGATATTTGGGCATTTAACGGTATAGATTTTAAGAGGGCAATGTCGATGACGTCGGGGCGTCCTACGGGTCCGTAATGTGTCGGTTCTGTTGGTCCGTGTATCGTCAAGTCGTCGTGTCTGTCTTGGTAATTCAGCAGGACGCGACCTCTTGTGGTCGTCGTCCCGCTGTGCCATATGGTGGACTTCGCATTGAAGTCCCCGATGGCAATTGTCTGGGGCCAGGAAAGGATTTTGTCTAAGTCATTGTGAAGTAGTGGAAGTTTGGGTGGGTGGTAACAGGACACCATCGCAACGTCTCCATGCCGTAGCGATCTCACCGCTATCGCCACGGCCTCTGTGTTTTGAATTAGGAGCCGCTGCAGCGGATTGTGGTCGATGCACTTCTTTACTATGAGTGCAACACCACCCCCGTTACGGTTTCTGTCATTTCTGTATATAGTCAGAGATGGAGGTACGGGATGCCTCGCTGAGGTAGATCTCCTGGACAGCCATAACGTCTATGTTTTGTTTAGACGGTTCAAGATGTCCACGAGTTCCGTTTTTTTGGCCCGGAACCCGTCAAGGTTCCAGGACGAAATTCTCAGAGAGGAGGGTTGGGAGGGCCGACGAGCCATTAGAAGTCGAATAATTTTTGCATATTCGACACCATGGTCGTCAGCTGGACGCAGAAGTCCTGAAGACGCTTTGTTGCGTCAATCAGGGCCGCCGCGCCCGGTTGGGAGGGTGTCGTGTCTGTGTGTGCGTGTGGTGAGGTGTTGTGTTTTTGTTTTTGTGTGTTTTGTGTTTTTCTGGTCATGTCAGCGTATGTGCGTCCTGG